ATCCTGAAAACTAGATCTTGGAAGCTGTTTTGGCTCCCTGAGCAACTGATCAGTTCACTCAAGTAGAGCTGGCCCCTGAAATCTTCAAACAGACACTTAACAACATTGTCTGTATGTGCATTCAAAGTAGTTTATTTTCAATCTTGTGACATCTGACTCTGGAAGCTTCTACACATCCTGGGCTTCTTTTAAGTTGTTGAGCATGTTTAACACTAGTTAGGATTAGACCCAATTTTTCTGTGGCTCTGAGGGCTCTGTGGAGCTGGCTGTCAAATTGCTGAGTGGCACTGAAAAGTGTTCAAGTGCTGTATGGTGTTCCAGATTGAAGATAAGGAACATCTGTTGTGGGTTGAGAATAATGCCTAGTCTGTCCTAGGGTTCATTAATTTAGGGGGAATTACAGACCGATGGCAGGATGGTATTTTCTACAGACATGCTTAGGAATTAGGCATGGCTGTAAGTACAAGGCATTGCAGAGCTGTACCATGTAAGATTTGTAGTGCTCCAAGTCTACTAAAGTTAAACATCTTGTGAAATAGAGTACAAAGAACTGTGCTTATTTGAAGTTATTTTACAGTATTTAAGAAGCTTTTTTTCTGTCAAGATTTTTCTTTTCCTTTTCTTCAAGTTTGGCCTTGCACTTCTCATCTCCCCTCAGCTGCATGCTAGATCACTCATCGTATTTTGTGTTTTCTGTGTCTAAAGTTAAGAAGAAAAAAAAAGACATTCCAATGTGTGCTAACAAAAATGTGACGTTAGATGGCATGATACTAATAATTATGAAGTCCACATTTCTACTTCATGTGGCTTGTCTCGTGGGAGACGGGAAAGGCAATGGAGAGGTGTCTGGATTGCTCGGGTGTCGCAGCGGGCAGCCCCCTGGGCTCCTCCGTGGGGAGGAGAGGACCACGCTCTGTGGCTGTGCCTCGGATCCTGCTCCTTCCTCTACAGGCAAAAATATTTTCAAAGGCAAACTTCTTGACTTTCACTAGCAATTGATGGAAATTGTCTCATGAAGTGGTTATCCTGCCGAGAATAGAGTAATAATGAAAATAGCAAAAATATTGGTTTGATCACTGTTGGTGATGATGTCTGGTTTTCCTGTCCTAAGAAACATTTGAGTAAAAGCCAAGCATAGATGTGCACTCATTTAATAGTGATTTTACCATTAGCTGTGTCTAAAACCTGTGGAGAAATCTATTTGTTAACTTATAAATATTGTAAAAATGAGATCTGTCTGTTTAGTTGCATGAAATTAAATTCCTCAGTAATATTTTCTTATTCTTACTGTGAACTCTGGGGCATTTTTCTTCCTTAGGTGTGGCAGAACTGTATGTTCCCCATCTAAATTGCTAACTATATTAATTAGACTACCCAAACTCCAGCTTCGTGGCTGTTTTGCTGGTTTTGATGGAGACTGCCCACCAGGCTGAGGTGGTGGCAGGAGCTGTGAAGGGGTCCTGGGGGGTCCCACCTGTGCTGCTGCATGCCTGCTCTATGGGAACTCTTGGTTGATAGTGAATGACTGGGGAGCATTAAACTCCGCAGTTAAAACGCAGTGGCCATTAGTTCTGGGCAGGATTAATTACTGTTGCAAGAAATATGTTTTTGTCATTGTGGCTGCTATTGTTTGCCTCTTCTTAAATTTCTTCCTAAGCTTTAAAAAATGTTCCCTTTTAATATACAAAGCAAAGGTCCTAAGGTGTCCTAGACTAGATAGGCAAGTGGTTTCAGTAGGGTGGGAGAGAGGGAAATAATGCAGTGAAACATACACAGACATCTCTGTGGGGTTCTGCTTTTTGTCAGTTTACATGTGAAATTTGAATAATGGTTGGATTCTCTATTTTTTCCTGGTATTCTGCCACTGCTTTTTCCCACTAGTTATCTCATTTCCCCCTCTTTGTTTTCTATGATCTGATTGTCCAGCTCCACAGATTATAACAAATAATCAAGTCTTTTGGCTTTATGTGTTTCATGGCATAGATTATATAGATTATATGCAATGAAAGGTTTTATTCTCAGTATCAGATTTTGAGTACAGGAGTACTTGGAACATTGAATGGAGCTACAGTTTAAAAGCAGATAAAACTATTTTCTGTTAATTGTGAGACTTCTGTACTAGTTATTCATTAAGAGTTCTACACCAGTCAAGATCCCATTGGAGGATTACCCTAACTGGTTGGAGTGGCTTAAGTTCTGATGAGTAACGTGCACTTTGTAAGGCTTGAGCAGGTAGTGTTGTAGACGTGGAAGCGATGAAAAAAGATTTATTGACGTGATAGAGATCTTTAAATGATGTGTCAGCAAGATGGAATGAAGGGGAAATTTTTATTGAATGGGAATGGATGCGAGTCAAGGACCAGACATGGGAATTTGGGTAATTCATTAAGTAGGCAAAGTCTGTCCTGTTAGTGATATCTTAGGTTTTACTTGGAAGCTGTTACTAATTGGACTAAAATAAGCATCGCTGTAAAAAAAGTGCAATTTTTCATTTGACATGTTATGGTTCTCAGCTAGGGCTGAAATTTTATGAGGATAAATCATACTTGATAGAGAGACAATAGTGCCCTAAAGTACAATATTATTGTCTGGAGTGTTACAGTCTAGAATATTAGTAGAGTATTAGGTTCTAGAACACAATTTTGCAATTCTTGTTTATCGTTGTCTACAAAAGAAGACTTCTGAATGAGTAGTAACACACTTTTTTGTAAATGAACAGTATTTTCTCATACTATTACCACATTATTTGTTAAAACAAACTATATGTATTTTTTAATATGAAATCACTTCTGCTTGTTTCCATAATCAAGTAGGATCTTAAAATGTTGTTGAATCACAACCGTTCCTGTGGCTGTGTTGACTACAGAGGTTTTAATGTGAATTTTTAGCAAACAAATTGGAAGCCTCGTTAAAGGTCCCACCCTAGGAGTTAACGGGCCGCTTGATGTTCTAAAGTATCAGCTGATTTGCTCTAGAGAGAAAAATGTAGTGTTGGGTTTTTCCACTCAGCTAACTCACCTACTAAAATAATAGTACTGGAACAGTTGAGTATGGCTGCATCCATCTGGGAAGGGAGGAATTTTAATCAGAACAGCGGGAGGGAAGAGTGAAGGGAGCTAATCGTTAACTTGGGAAATTGGGGGAAGCTTAAATGGAAAAGTATGTTGATAGTGCAACATTATATTGTGCAAATAAATCCTTTGCCTCATGATGGAAATATGCACTTATAAAAATATTTTTTATTATCAGTTCATACAGTCTGGGTTTATCCTTGAATAAAAATCTGCAAGATACCTGTGGTGTTTTAATTAAAATAAATAGGGCAGAATAGGATTTAAGATGATTGCATAGTGTACGTAATGAGTTCAAGATCCAACAGGGCTTTACAGAAGTTGCCATCTACAGCCATTAGTTCATAATTTAATCTATAATATTTTATTCTGAGCTTGAGTTTCAGTTCATTTTGTTTGCGCTCACAGGGCCTGGACGTGCAGGATAACCAGGGTCATCGGCCCAGCTGGCACAGGTGTGTGAAAGGCCAACCTGATCTCTTTCTGTGTCCAGGCTGCCCGCCTAGGGGATTAGGGGACGGCTTGGATGTTGTCTACCTGGACTTTAGTAAAGCCTTAAACAGCTAGAGAAGCTGGCGGCTCATGGCTTAGGCAGGTGTACTCTTCTCTGGGTTAAAAAACGGTGGGATGGCCGGGCCTAGAAGGTGGTGGTGAGCAGAATTAAATCCAACTGGCAGCTGGTCACAAGTGGTGTTCTCCAGGGCTCATTTTTGGGACCAGTCTTGTTTAATATCTTTATCGGTGATCTGGATGAGGGGATTGAGTGCACCCTCAGTAAGTTCACAGATGACACCAAATTGAGCAGGAGTATTGATCTCCTGGAGGGTGGGGAGGCTCTGCAGAGGGATCTGGACAGGCTGGATCAGTGGACTGAGGCCAGTGGGATGAGATCCAGCAAGGCCAGGTGCCGAGTCCTGCACTTGGGTCACAACAACCCCAGCAGCGCTACAGGCTTGGGGAGGAGTGGCTGGAGAGCTGCCAGGCAGAGAGGGACCTGGGAATGTTGAGGGACAGCCGGCTGAACATGAGCCAGCAGTGTGCCCAGGTGGCTGAGAAGGCCAGCGGCATCCTGACCTGTATCAGGAATGGTGTGGCCAGCAGGACCAGGGAAGGGATTGTCCTCAGCACTGGTGAGGCCACAGCTTGAGTACTGGGTTCAGTTTTGGGTGCCGTAGTGTAACACAGACATCAAGGTGCTGCAGCGGGTCCAGAGAAGGACAACAAAGCTGGTGAAAGTCTGGAGAGCAAGTCTTATGGGAGTAGCTGAGGGAGCTGGGATTGTTCAGTCTGGAGAAGGGGAGACTGAGGGGAGACCTTATCACTCTCTACAGCTCCCTGAAAAGAGATTGTAGTGAGGTGGGTGTTGGTCTCTTCTCCCATGTTACAAGTGATGAGAGGAAATGGGCTTAAGTTGAGCCATAGGAAGTTTACATTAGATACTTGGAAGAGTTTCTTTACTGAAAGAGTGGTGAAGCATTGGAACAGGCTGCCCAGGGAAGTGGTAGAGTCGCCATCCCTGGAGGTGTTAAAAAACGTGTGGCTGCAACACTTCAGGACATGGTTTAGTAGTCATCGGAGTGTTGAGTTGATGATTGAACTTGATGATCTTAGGAGATATTTTCCAACCATAGTGATTGTATGATTTTAATAAATAATCAGACCAGGACAACTTGAAACGGTTAAACTTGACGCCTCTAGATTGTTGATCTCAGATGACCTAAATTAAAATAATGCTTATGTAACCTATAGTGCTCCTCATTGGTAATGCAAGCAATACCTGTGTGTTCTCTGACTGCTATTGCTCTTGAAGTCTGTTGGATCTCAAAGGGATTGGTTTGTTATTACATTATAGCATATTATCCGAGAGCCTGACTGTAGTAGTTTTTCTGTAAGAATATACAATGTTGTAACTTTCTGTAATATCAACAGGTTTTAGGACCTGCCCCAAAATGGTGTTCCTTCTTGGACAACTTGACTGAAGAACTGGAAGAGAATCCAGAGAGCACGGTTTATGATGATTACAAATTTGTTACCAGAAATGACCTTGAAAATTTAGGTAAAACGATTGAATATCCTCCTTAGCTGTCTTCTTTGTTCAGTTTTTCATCATTTACACAAGCTTTGTAATTCTGATGAGACATGTGAGGACTGTTAGAAATTCGCTGGCAGTAGTTTCCTTCAGTCTTCTTAGTTATTAATATACCAGAGTGATGGCTTTATGTTTTTTGGTTCCCAGCTAGTGCAGCACTAGATATTTGTGTTTCTTAGATATTTATCCCAAAAAGGTGATTGTTACTTGCTGATTTAATATGTCTAGGAATCTGTTGTGTGTGTGCTTTCAGACACTGAATGGAAGGCACAGGAAGAGAGGTTGGTTTAGTTTTCAAAGTGTTTTCAAGGGGCTCAAATAATATGTTGGAACTCACAGCAAAACCTGCCAAAGGCTACCCTTTTTGAATGTAGTAATTTCTAGAAAATACAGATTACTCTGGGGTTAATAGAAACAACAGTTTCAAGGAATTGAAATGCTGAAAATTATAGCGCAGAAAAGGTAAGTGTGCTTCTCGCAAGGCAGTTAAACCTTTTCCTGTCTGATACATGTTTTGATTGCAATGTCTTGCTCCTGTTGAACTTAATTCATTTACCTATGACTATGGAGTTGGGTTTGACCTGGCAAGAGGCTGTATGAGGAGGAGGTCATCCAAAACACCTGCATGTTCAGCATTAAGAGTTCTAATGTGGATGGTCTGAATGTAGCCCGCAGACCCCCAACTGTAAGAGAGTAAGGCAGTGTAGTGGCATCTGCACAGACACTTGACTGGGAGTAGTTATTGTGCTTTAAATTTCAAATTAAATCCCCCATAAATGCAAGCTTTCCAATGAAGAACTGGCTTAAGAGCTATTTCTTTGTGTTACTAGCTATTAGCTGGGGTACTCTAATTTTGGAATATTAAGGAAGTTTGTTTCCTGGAAACAGTTAAAAAGAGACAACTTTGCTTTTAGATGCACAGTGGTTTGTCACTGGTTTTGCCATTTAGTTTGTTAATTCTTAATTTCTAAAGATTTGGGGTCTGTAGAGGATATTTTGCTATTAAAAGCTTTTCCTTTTCCCAGTCTTGGAATTTTGTGAAGATACATTTAAAGAAAATAAGAGCACTGGCAAGTATTTTCATTCTCACTTAGGTTAGGGCCTAGGGTGACAGTTTTATGACTCGATGTGGTAGTGTATTTTTTCAACATGTTGATTCTTCAAAGATAGTGACCCAAGGCAAAACTCTTTAATTAAAAACATCTCTATACCACACTAAAAAAGTGATTGTCAAACATCTCTGGACTTTCAAAAAGATCCTCTTGAATTTTTCTTTGTAAACTTTTATGGAGCGTTGTGCATGTGGATATTTTTAAAAGTATACAGTGACATGTATTAGGACAAGAGAAAATGATATTGTTGCTCTGAAGAAGCTCAAATTTCTTTCTGGCCAAAGTGATTTCTTTTTTTCTGCGGTTTTACTTGGTCTTGATGTAATGGACATGTTAGATTGATGTGCTGCATTGGCAGTGCTTGTTTGTCTTGAACTGGGTAAGTGAAGTGGCTAGCTTGGAATAGGAGTTCTTTTATATATGAAAGCTCTTTGAAATCCTCTGTAATTTTTTTCCCAGGCCTTGCTCATCTCATTGGATCATCATTGCTCAGAGCATATATGCATGGCTTTTTCATGGACATAAGACTTTATCACAAGGTATATAAGGCTGATTCTTATCAATTTTTCCTTTTCCCAATAAAATATGTTGTGTTTTTGTTGTGAATGGGGAGTTTTGCGGTTGTTTCTGTTGTGGGATTATTTTTGTTTTCCAAATAACGGACTGTGTCCTGTATTAATGGTATTTTCTTTCTACTTACTTCTGCTAAGAAAGGCAAAAATGATGGCCAACCCCTTTGCCTATGAAGAATACAGAAGAGAGAAAATAAGGCAGAAGATAGAAGAAACACGTGCACAACGAGTTCAGCTAAAGGTAAATCCTCTAAACATTGCATATACCTCTGGGAAAGCTATTCATAAAGAGCAATAGGTTCTTAAGTGTATCTCAGAGATGTAATGACATAGGATTTTGCTTATCATCAGAGACAAAAAATAATTTGTAGAATTTTTTGAACGGGGCCATAAAATTCCCATGTGTATGACTCCCACAGATGAGAGAGCTGATACCAAACTATAGAAGAGCAGCTCTCATCACATTTGCTACTTGAGGAGATAAACCACTGACAAAACTTGCAGTTTATATTTCTCTCATTAAACTGAATTACTTTAGCCATTCAAACATAATATTCTGGAAAGAGACATATAAAAATAGTATTGTGTTTATAACTAGTGGCTTTCTAGATTGAATTTGCTCAACATATGAGGAGAGATTGCTTTTAAAATACTAAAGTTGATGCATTACAAAGGAAAAAAAGATAAAGAAGTTCTGTTTAAATTTGCTCCATGTGCTGGTATGTAGAAATATTTAGAACTGGTCTTTTCAGCAAGAGTTAGAAGAATGAATAATAATTCTCTCTTCACCACACCTATGAATGTAAAGCATGTAGGGTTTTGCATGTGTAAGAGAGTAATTTGCTGATTAATTGCTTTCCTCTCTTTAGAAACTTCCAAAAGTCAATAAAGAGCTTGCACTCAAACTGATGGAAGAAGAAGAAGAGCAAGAGGTTACTAGGAAAAGAAAACAGAAGGTGAGCTTTTGTTTTGAAGAATTCTCTAACTGGGAGCACAGAAAAAGTCATGCTTATAGTGTTGATTTTTTAAATTATTTTTTGTTTGCTTGTTTTTGTTATCCGTCCCAAACAGCTTCAAAATTCCATTGTTTCTATTTCTCCTAAGTAACTTAGGCTGGTAGGGGTGGCTTTAAGGTGGACTTTACTGTAGCTGCAGCACCAAAAAGGCTACGTAATAACTTAAAACATCAAATGATTAAATACTTACTGGGAAGGTGATATGGGCTTCATATAACTCCACACACTAGCTAAATCTGGTCAGTACCAAAGTTGTTTGAAAAAGACCCCGTTGTTTGCATTTGTTGGTATATTGGTGGTAGATGTTATCTGTGAAACTAAAGATACAATTGCCTTTGTGTTCACAATTAATTACGTTTTATAAAATAGCCAGGGTGGTTTGGTTTTATGCAACAGAAATTCTTCCCGATGTAGAAAATAATAATTTTTTAGCCTATGTGAAGTCTGAAGGAAAAAACAAGTTTATATTTAATGTGTGTGTGGCGGAAGCGTTCTGTGGGTAGCACTTCATAGGTGTTCGTTTTCGCACAGGAATGTAACATTCATGAAAGGCAGGCAGTAGCTTCATGCAGCACCTAGTGAAATCCTCTGTGTTACACTTAGTAGGAGGCATAAAAAAATAAGCAGTGGTAAAACCTTAAATGCAGATTGTCTAGGCCGGTGTTACAGTGGAAGTACAAGTTCAATAAATAGGGGCTGGTTTGTCTAGGACTACATAGGGATTGTGTTACTAAGTAGACTAGAAAGAGCGTACATAAAAATGCATGTTGTGATTATTTTTATGACATGATGTTAAAGTCTTCTGAAAAGCAGTTTATTTTAGGCTTTGTGATTTAATTTTTGGCTGTATGACTGAAACTTGTGCATTTGCAACAGTTTCTGTGTTTGAAATTTCCACTTGTCATTTTCTGGGTGTTTGGGTTTTTTTGCTTCTTAGGTAACAATGGAAATTTAATGCTGGAGTGGGATAAATGTGCTGGTATAAGTTATAAAAGCTATGTATTCAATGATTTTAAAATGACAATCTATGAAGTGTTCTAAATTTAACAGTAGCATAACTTTGAGTTAATTTTATTTTGATGTGAATGAAATTGCCTCTTTCATTCTCTCCCCAAGAGCAGTGCGGTGATATAAGATATACAGAAGCCCTTACTCTTACGTGTTTACAGTAAAACAGTAGTAGCATTGCATAAAGACATGTTTACCCTGATAATTCGTTGTACATGTTGTAGAATCGTCCCTGTCAGGCAGGGTATTTGCCTTGGAGGTACTGCTGATTAGTCAATAGATACCAACACGTCTGCAGACAAGCTGGCTGGCTGTATGAGAAACATGAATTCAGAAATCTTAGTAAGGGTGTTTTTAAGGTGTCTGTAGTAATGCCCTGGTTTGAGCTAAACAGAACCAATTCTGTTCAGTGATTTTACTTTTCAGCCCTAGCCCTTGACAAACGTGCATTACAAAAACCTTGTCTTGTTTACAGGTAGATTAGAATGTTTTTTGTTTTTTTTTTTTACTTTCACATAGACTAAACAAATAATAAACACAAAACTTGATTTTATCAGACTTGGGAGGATAAAGCAACTGGCATTTCACATGCTGCTTTTGAATTTTGCTTGATTAAAAAGCTGTTCCTTACTTTACCAACGTCCCATTTCAGAATATTATAACTCATTCATGCTTTGCTTCTTTTTCAGAATGTGCCCAACCTTCTCAAAGATGATCGTTTCAAGGTCATGTTTGAGAATCCAGATTTCCAGGTGGATGAGCAGAGTGAAGAATTTAGGCTACTTAACCCACTTGTTTCTAAAATAAGCGAGAAAAGAAAGAGAAAACTAAAGATCTTGGAGGAGCTGGAAGCACGAGAACAGGTAAAATATTTTATTATTTGGATTAGGAAAAAATCCATGGTGTTTTTCCTTTGTTTCAAGCATTCTGATTTTTCACTCTAGGAAGAAGGGAAGATGGATGCAATGCAAGAACATCTTATCAGCTACAGTAATTAAGTGTAATTTATAGTGTTATCCCAGTTCTTAGATGTGGACAATATTGTGTCTACATGAATATAGGTTTGAAAAAATTAAGATATGTAGGTGGAAACGATTTTATAATGTATCTTCTGCTCCAATTGCTACTCCTGCTTTTCTTCAAATTTTAGTTCTCTTCAACTGTGTCTGTGTAAAAGCTGTCACGTACTCTTAATTGCATGAGTGGTTTGAAAAGAAAATTAGTTGATGATTTCTTATTTTATACTATTTTTGTCTGCAGGAAGAGGAGGAAGAACCAGAAGGAAAAGCAAGTGATGCAGAAAGTTCTGAGAGTTCAGATGATGAAAAAGGCTGGGTTGAAGAGGTCAGGAAACAGCGCAAGCTTCTACGCCAAGAGGAAAAAGTAAAGCGGCAGGAAAGGTTCAAGGAGGATCAGCAAACATTACTGAAACCTCAGTTTTTTGAGATTAAAGAAGGAGAGGAATTCAGAAGCTTCAAAGACTCTGCCAAAAAACAGAAATTAATGAAGTAAGACTAATGTTCCTATTTTAGTAGCTGGGGATGGATGATTCTCAAGTATTTCTCTACGGAGCAGGCCAGTGGCATGTTGGCTTGGAAACTCTCACTAGTAAAGCCACATCTGGCGATTCAGAGATAGGACTTGACGAGACATAGCCATTAAAAGCTTTGTTTTTTAGTTACACAAATATGATGTTTAAAGTATGGCAGAGAGACAACACAAATGAAATGAGCGAGCTGTTAATGTTCTGAGCCAGATTTGAGGATCCGTTACTCTCTGGTGAACTGCTGCTCCCACAAATAACAACACTGATCTCTGCAAGACTGGTTATATTTCTCCACCAGCGTCAGTGTGAGGCTGACAGACTGGGTGTTTTCCATCTGACCCTCTAAAAGTATGTAGAATGCTGTATGATTAGAAACTATTTTGGGGGTAGGATCAAGGGGTAGAAGAAAAATCATTTTGCCTGGAAGTTTTTATGGCACGCAGAAACTTTCAAAAAACAGGCAGTCCTTAGATTGTGATTTATTTTTTTTCTTTTTGCAATACAAAAAACCCCAGATTTATTTTTTTTTAAACTTGGATTTCCTTAAATTGGTGATCAGCTGAAGTAATTTGGTACTATATAAAGAGCACTTTAAACTAGAGCACTTGACTTTGAGGTGCTTAATGCTTGCAAATTTCACGAATGTTTTTTTCAGAGGTAAGTTGAGCCCTTTGGAAGATGAGATTTAATAGAATTCTGTTATTTAGAGCACAGACACTATTATTAAAACCTTGAAAGACAAGAGCTTCAAAGTTCTTGCAGCACACTGGGCACAGAGCAGAATTTGGACTAATGTTGGAAACAGATTGCTGGGCTAGGTGGGTCTTGTAATAGCCATTATCTTTTCACCTGGGATGAAAAGATACAGTAAAAAAAAGGAAATGAATAATATATATAATAGAGCTGTTTATGGCACTAGTGACCGACTGTACGACCTAGTTGTTTTATTATGGGAATTTTCTGGGGATATGTAAAGAATGTTTAGTAAAAATTCAGCCTCTCCCCTTAAATGTGCAAGTTTTTAACTGGAATTATCATCTAAAATGGTCTTTAAGTATTACTGAGGCAGTGTGTGACTTCTGTGTTGTATCTGTAAGACCTCTTTACGTAAGAGTATTAGTTTTTGTAAATTGAGATTTATAGCAGTTCTGCAGAACTGGTTCCTGTGATTTCCTTTAGCTATTTTTTATCAGCCAGTGTTTTCACACCGGGATTTTTGTTCTCTATATTGAATATTGAATTCCAGCGAGACTTGGACAGGCTAGAGAGTTGGGCAGGGAAAATTTAATGAAATATAACAAGGGAAAGTGTAGGGTCTTGCATCTGGGTAGGAACAACCCCAGGTTCCAGTTGGGGAGTGACTTATTAGAGAGCAGTGGAGGGGAAAGGGACCTGGGGGTTCCAGTGGACAGCAGGATGACCATGAGCCAGCAATGTGCCCTCGTGGCCAAGAAGGCCAATGGCATCCTGGGTTGTGTTAGAAGCGGGGTAGCTAGTAGGTCACGAGAGGTTCTCCTTCCTCTCTACTCTGCCCTGGTGAGGCCACATCTGGAATATTGTGTCCAGTTCTGGGCCCCTCAGTTTAAGAAGGATAAGGAACTGCTGGAGAGAGTCCAGTGTAGAGCAACCAAGATGGTGAAGGGAGTGGAACATCTCCCTGATGAGGAAAGGCTGAGGGAGCTGGGTCTCTTTAGTTTGGAGATGAGGAGACTGAGGGGTGACCTCATGAATGTTTATAAATATGTAAGAGGTGCGTGTCACGAGGATGGGGCAAGGCTCTTCTCGGTGACAACCAATGGTAGGACGAGGGGTAATGGGTTTAAACTGGGACACAAGAGGTTCCACCTAAATTTGAGAAGAAACTTCTTCTCAGTAAGGGTAACAGAGCCCTGGCACAGGCTGCCCAGGAAGGTGGTGGAGTCTCCTTCTCTGGAGACATTCAAAACCCGCCTGGATTCCTTCCTGTGTAACATCGTCTAGGTGTTCCTGCTCCGGCGGGGGGATTGGACTAGATTATCTTTCAAGGTCCCTTCCAGTCCCTAACACTCTGGGATTCTGTGATTCAGCCAGTCATTCTGAACTCTTAACTTCCCTGGATTTCTCCATCAGTTTTCTTCTGATTATTTTTGTTTTCTTCTAGAAGATGAAGCAACTTCTTATTTATGTCAGTTTTTTTTTCTTTGTCAGGATAAAATCCGCTCTGGATGCTGACAGAGCATTGTAAGTTGAGGACATATTTTATATTGTGCGTAGATTTATAGTCACATTAGCAAGTGACTTGAAAGGAGCCTGAGACACTGGTCAAACTACACTATATTCTCATTGCCATTGAAATATTTCCCTAAAAGGCTAAATGACGGCAGCCTGCTCACATACTGTTCTTTTATACAACTGCTGACCTCTAAAGGAAGTTCTCAGGGACATTCAGAAGCATTAAGGTTTCATTTTGTTCAAAACATGGAAGGAAGGCTTAAATGTGAACAAGAAAACTGAAAGTTAAGTAAATAACCCAAGAGTTATAAGGAAGAGAAACATTCAGAAAAAATGGGAACAGCGTGGCCCAGGACAAGGTAAATTCTTTCATCTGGTGTGCAAAGGGAGAAAAATCATTGCTTCAGCCTGGGAAAAATGAAATCAAATACTACAGACCTGTCAGTGGATGGAGGCATATCAGTGATGACATGAACCATGGAATGACTTAAAACACAACTTTTTGGGAAAAGAGAATCCCTTAAGATTTGCTGCTAATCCTCTGCAGAATAATTTTCAACATGTGGTGCATAATTAGGGTGGCTTACGTTAGATACCCTCTGGGTGGCACAAAGTGGGATGTAATATTAAATATTGAGAGGGGGCCGGTTAGCTCACTCGGTTGGAGTGTGGTGCTGATAACACCAAGATCACGGGTTCAATCCCTGCTCCGTCCCCATGTGTTGCCTGATCTAGTTGAGAGGTATCCCTGCCCATGACAGGGAGGTTGGATTAAATGATCTCTAAGGTCCCTTCCAGCCTTGGCCATTCTATGATTAAAAAAAAACAAGGAGGGAGTACTGAGGGTAGAATAGAATACCCCTGAAAATGGATGTGACAGCATTACATCTTTTATGGGTTTTTTTTAATTGCTGTGAGAGAATTGTCTTCCCATGCTTATTTTTTTTGTCTAAGCAGTTAGCTATATACTCACTGTCAGTGAGTAAGAGCTAACATTTGTGCTTATCCAAGCACTGCTCTTAGTATATAGTCTGATATTCCTCAAATTCATAGAAGAAATTTAAAAAAACTTAACAGCTGGTACATTTCTTATAACATATAGCTGATATGATTCTGTAATCATAATGATTTACTCTGTGCTGTGAGCTAACTTGTTTGGTCAAGAAGCATTTTTACGTATTAGAATTTTATTAAGAAAATATGTTTTCTGCTGGCTTTATTCAGTGATAAGTAGTCAGCATAAAAATAATTAATTCAAGTAATGTACTGAAAATTGGAAAGACTGTAGTGGCATGTACAATCTGGTGAGGCTGGCATGTTTGTCTTTGATTTGATTTATCCAAGTTATGGAATGATGGTCTGTGACCAATATAATTAAGCACCTTAATACCTTCACTATGCATTTAATGGTTAGGTGTACTTTTTTTCTCTAATCGTATAATGTTCTACCTGAGGAAACAGTTTATGACTTATATAAAACTGGGTGTTTCTTTTGACATGTTCCTGACTCAGCATGGCTTCCAGCCTGAATTCTAAAGTAGTGGTGTGTACTATAAATTTCTTCATAGACCAACAGTCTACACATTTCTTTGTGCAGGAAAGCTGCAAAATTTACTCCGTTGTAAAAAACACCTTGTCTGAAATCCGTCTACATTTCACTTCCTCCTATTGGACTCTTATGCTTACACATGAAAACCTTCTCTTACTGTAGTAACTCTTCCTTAAGTAGTAACTTAAAAGGAATCCATGAAAGGAAAGACTTTTTATCAGTGTGCTGAGAGCTCTTTTGGTTTTCTTGATGTCCCCTTAGAAGGTTTACTACTGAAGTTAGAGCATGTGAAAATTAAAAACTACAGTAGTCATACTTTATGGAGAGTGACAGTCAATGTATATGACTTCAAAGGTGACCAAGAGAATCAACAAAAGCATAGTTGACATTCCTAGGTGTTGCTGAAGTAAAGCAGCAGGAAAAGTCCTGAAAACTTCTCTTTATACTGAGGAAAAAAGAAGTGCCCGGGCAATTTTATCTGTTTGTTTGTTTTCTACTGTAAAGCAGGGGAAGTTGCTTTTAATAACACTGTTGATGTATCCCTTGAATCAATTTGTTGAGGATGATTTAAAAAAACCCAAACAAACACCAAACCAAACCCAAAAACAACCCGGCTGTTGTATTTGTGTATCAGTGTGTGCAGCTCACTACATTTGAGGTCTGCACATTTTCAGATAAATACAGCCATACCTGCAATTATTCAGTAAAATTGCAACCCCAAAGCACTTTGCTAATATCTTCTCATTTTAATGTTTCTCCTGACTGAAGCAGTATCTAGGCAGTCATGCTAAATAATTGCTGGGTAGTAGCCATATTTCTCCAGTCTGCTTTCAAAGGAGAGAAAAATGGGACTTCACTTGAATGTAGAAATCCCACCACAATGTCAGTGACTGATCTTCTGCCACAGTTGGCTCTAAGGCTTAGCTTGTCTTCCTGATTCACACACATGGAACAAGTTTTTACATGTGCTCAATGAAAAATATACTACAGAAAAAAAATACAATCAAAGTACCTAGTCATGAGAAATAAAGTAATTCTTGACAGTAATTTTTCATTGTTAATCTGAAAAGTCTTTGTTGCATAAAATGGTTCATTAACCAAAATTCAGTGGACTTCAGAGACTTCACGCCTAGGCCACAGTCCATGAGCCCTTCATCCATAGTAAATGCCATTGACTTTGGTGGCTGCTGGTCGTCTGTATTTTTTATGATGACTTATTTTCCACTTTAAAATTTGTACAAGAAATGGTCTCTTGGTCCTCCTCAGAGAGCTCTAATAAGGCACTAAGTAGCAGCACCTCAAACTGCAGAAACTAATTCCATTTACACTTGGGTGAGCGTTTCCTGAGCACGTTGCAGAGGGAGCTCGTCTGGTCGTATAAGCCACGTTGTCGTCTCAGGTGACGCTGCCTTCTTGTAGGACCCGTCTTCTAGAAGGACGAGCCACGTTGGGGCTCACGGGTGCCTTCAGGGAGGCCAGCGCTGCCCCTGCCCACCTGCCACAGCCCTGTGCTGCCGGGCTGTGTTTCCACTCCTTAGCTGTTCAGTTACAACCCAATTAACTGAAGTCCGCAAAGGAGATGTTAAATATCAGCTTGCAGCCTGGGGCATGTCCACAGCTCTTGCCTTTGTAGAGGCGTTAACTTTCAGCAGAGGTGAAAGCAATATCAGTTTTGGACCCAACAGCTACCTCCTCCTCCCCTGAAACGCTGAGCTCTGTGCATGAGGGAGAGGCTCCGCACTAGCTCGCTGAGAGAAACTGAACTGATTGGCACCGTGTGCTTAAAGGCGAACACTCATGTGGAGATCCTCTCCGGGGTCAGGGCCGGTCCTACTTCTCACATTCACTTGTTTGCATCATTCTTTTATTTTGAAAACTGTTTGTATTAGACTGTTGCGGGCGCAGTGTCCAAACAGTCAGTTGGGTTTGGATTACGTAGTTTGTGTCTATCGGTGAAGTGATTCATTCGGTAGTGAGTTCATTCTGATGTGCAGTCAAGATGATTTCCTTCCCTCAAAAGTGTTTACAGCTCAGAAATTATAACATTTCAAGAAAACTGGATATATCTAGCCTTATTGTTGGTTGGTTTTCTATTTGTTGTTTTTTTTTAATTTGTGCATGTATCTATTATTGAAGCTGAATATTTCTGACTTTTGCTGACATTTCATAGAAAACTATAGCAATAGAAGGGTGTGGTTTCTTTCTCAACTAGGGTTATGTTGTGTTTTTAGCAGAAAAAACACTGAACTTTATACAAATTTTAAAAGTGTTTCTACTGAAAGCAATATCTGGAGGGAATTATTTGAACTTGTCTTTTCTGTTTACTGGATGTTTAATTTTTTTAGAGTTGTGGCATTTCAGGGTTTTGGAGAAATTGAGATTAGTTTTGACTGCATTATAAGTCTTTATTATAGTAAAAAGATAGCAATAACAGGGACTAACGTTAATTGTTCTTTGCAGGAAAACTCTTGGAGATCGTCTAAAGCTTGAAGAAAAACTTGGCACGCTCGATGTGTCTGATACCACAGTAGGCAGCAAACAGGCAACATTCAAATTAAAGAAGGTGAGCTATATATATATATATA